TCTCTTTCACATCGCTAACTCCCTGTAGGCACTCTATTTAATTTTCGAAGAAATAAAACATAGACTGGTGATCGAATTCTGTGCTAGCCAGCATTGACTCAGCTGAAGAGTTGGGGATCAGTTAGGCTGGGCTTGAGAGTCAGATCCGCTGGTGCCTGTAGCTGTGCACTCAGACCCGCTGGATCTTAGCAGTTTACATAGTCACACTGTTGTTGTGGCCAGATTTATTCCTCTCCTGTCATCTTAGCTGTTTCAGCCCCCATTTCTTTTCATCCGTTCGTTCGTTCATTCCATTCGTTCGTTCGTTCATAAAATGTCAAGCGCATCTAATATGTGGCAGGCACCGTTCTAAGTGCTGGGGATACAGCAGTGAATGGGTAGAAGTGGTCTTTATTCTCGAGAGACCTGTAAGAACATAGCAGTGGTTCAGGCGATGTGGAGAGATACTAATGCAAACATACATGCATATTTGTATGTATATTTTTTAAAGCTTATTTATTTTGAGAGAGTGAGAGACAGAGCATGCAAGGGAGGGAGGGGCAGAGAGAGAGAATCCCAAGCAAGTTGTGCACTCTGAGCGCGGAGCCCAACGCGGGTCTCGAACTCACAAACTGCAATATCGTGACCTGAGCCAAAGCCAGGAGTCGGACGCTTAACCGACTGAGCCACCCAGGCGCCCCTATATATATTTAAGTGTTGGTCTTCCTTAAGTGAGGAAATAATTAGAAGTCACACCTATTAAGTAGGTTTGAGTAAATAATTTCCCACATTCATTTTAATCCTTTTTCTTCAGAAGGAGCACAAAAGATTTTCTGTGTAACAAAAGCTGCTAGCTATTTCTGAATTAGGAAGAACATGAACATTTTGAAGCGTTGATTTAGTTTTCATTTTTTTTTTTTTTGCATTAATGTTGCAGCTATATTAGGACTTCAGTCGTTTGTACTTTCCATATACATTTATTTAATAATGAAATTGTCTGTCTCTCCCACTAGACTGTCGGTTCCGTGACGGAGGGAACCCATTTGTTTTTGCTCTCCGTTGTATTCCCAGCACATAATCCAGTTCCTGGCACATAGTAGGTTCTTACTGAATATTTATTGACTGAATGAGTGAATTTGTTTTTAATTTGTCAGAACAAGCTGGAAGTCCCATTATTGCTACTTAGCAGAGAAGAAAGCAAACCATAAGGAAACCAAGATTTTAGGAATTTAATATAATACAATTTCCAGGGATTATCCTGTGGCCATTGAGTTGATTTTTCTTTTTTTTTTCCCGGGGGGGGGGGGTCCTGGTTAATGTTTTTAAAGTTGTATTGGGTGCTCTTAGGCCTGGCAGGAATCTGGCATATACAGCATACTGTATTTATGGAAAATGGACTATAAATTATTTTAAACATTTCAGCAAAATGCTGAAAGAGTATTTTCTGGTTTACTTTACATCTCAGTTCCAGAGCATTCGAGTCAGTGGAAGTATGTCTGTGAGTGTGAAGTCATTGTTCTGTGTTAAAAAGAAAAAAAAAAAAAAAAAACCAAAACCAAAAAAGATTTTTTAAGTTTTTAAAAAACAAAAAATTTTACATTTTTTTTTTTAAAAAAAAAAAAAAAATTATTATTCTGAAAAACATGCCTAGATGCTAAAATAATTTTTAACAGGAAAAAATAAGACTTCATTATTATTTTTCTTAGCCAGAAAATTTTTCATTTAGATCTTTGTAGGTATTCTTTAATTTCGTAGTTTAAGAATTATTTTTTAATTTGAGAGAGAGCGCACGCGCACGCGTGCATGCGAGTGGGGCAGGGGGGCAGAGAGGGAGAGAGAGAGAGAGAGAGAATATCTGGAGCAGGCTCCATGGCCTTAGCGTGAAGCTCAGTGTGGGGCTCGATCCCACAATCCTGAGATCATGACCTGAGCTGAAATCAAGAGGGGGTCACTCAACCGACTGAGCCACCCAGGTGCCCCTGTAGTTTATTTTAAATATTTATGGCAAAAAATGTACTCTTTAAAACTTCGGTTGTAAAAAATAGTTGATTTAGTGGAAAAGAGACTAGATGACAGCATAGAGCCTAGCGTATGGAGACCCACCATAGTGATTGTTCCTACCTCACTCTGCTAGGTCCTTACAGTGTCTATAAAATGTTTTTACTTACTTCCTCTTAGTAACTCTAGCATAATTTACTTCTGTTTCTTATCTGAGTGGACCTCGGCGGCTCTAGATTTGCGGCCTGGGGATGGATGAGTAAGTGAGGGATGAAAAGGGAACTTTAAGGGGTCAAGTGCACTTGAGGAAGCTGCCTGGACACTGAAAGTGTGTCAGGGTTAGTGCAGGAGTCGGGATGAACAAAGACACCGTGAATCAGGCCATCCGTCAGTGAGGGAGGGGGAGGCGTCAGTGAGGGAGGGGGAGGTGGCCGCAGAAGGATGGGGCTTAAGGCCAGATCTTAATAGCTTTTTTGACTGAGGGCGAAGGTTTTTAATATGCAGATGACATGTGACGATTTAGAAGTGGCAGCAGGGAGCTCAAAAATGCCAAAGGTTGAAGACGTGGGGAGTTTAGAACAGAAACTGGCTCCTGGAGGGAACAGCAAAAGGGTCGAGAAAGTAGAAAATCCCAAGGTCGAGGAAGGACATAAGGGACAGTAAATGAACGACAGTAACAGAGGATGGGAGCCGAGGGTTGGGGGACGGAGTAGTATTTTCAGGGATGAAGGATTATGGCATTGAGAGGCAAGGTGAAAGGTAATTGACTTGAGTTTTCCCAACTTTGGCCTAGACCAGCCCAAAGGCAGAACCGTCCAAGGTTTCTGAGCGCGACTTGGCTCGGTCTGAGAGATGGAGTAGATGGCCAGGGGGGTCTGCGGTGGAGGGGGCTGTGTCACGGTGATGGGTGTGGTGCCGAACTTCTGCTGGGAGCGGGGGACGGGGACGGTGTCACAGTGCTTGGCTTCCTCGCGGGCAGAGACCGTTGGACACTGGGAACCCCAAACTACACGTCAGTAGATGTTAAGTCCACATAGGTCAGTGCACTGTATCTTAGGGCTCAGGGCTGTTACTGTTCTGAAAAAGAACATGAGGGGTTTGTTTAAGGCTAATCAGGTCCCTCAGGGCAAGCTTACAGCAGAGAAATGAAGCGTGAACAGATGGATACTTCCTGTGTGGCTCTTAGTACGTCCTTTTTCTTTTTTTTTTTAATTTTGTTTTTGCATTTATTTGTTTTTGAGAGACAGAGCACAGGCGGGGGAGGGGCCGAGAGCGAGAGGGAGACACAGAACCCGAAGCAGGCTCCAGGCTCCGAGCTGTCGGCCCAGAGCCCGACGCGGGGGCCCGAACCCACAAACCGCGAGATCGTGACCTGAGCCGAAGTCGGACGCTCAACCGACTGAGCCACCCAGGCACCCCTCACCCCATTCTTCACATTGTTGTGTTTGACTTGAAATCTAAGAGAGGTTAAGTAAATTGCCTATGACATGCATGGGATTAGTGGTAGGACCGTCATAAGAATCCCAACAGTCTTGCTGTAGCAACTGCACCTTCAATCTGATACTTTTTAAAGGTCTTTCTGACGCCATGATTGAAATCATTGTTTTATTTTCTTTGAGTATACCTCCCCAGTGAACATTCTCACCTGTTCCCATTCTGTTTGTACAGTAACTTTGCAAAGGAAGACGGTATTCCATTTTACAGACCAGAAAATTAAGACGGTTTTGATTACCATGAGGTTGAACGTCTTTGCGTGTTTCTTCACCTTTCGAATTTAGCTTCTATAAATTGTTGACTCCGAGTCCTTTCCACACTTTGTATTTCCTTTGGCTCAAGCTCTTTCTGTGTTGAAGATGTTAATAACTTTTACGTTTTATGGTTTTTTGTAAACCTTCTCAATGATTTCTAATCCAGAGAATTTAACTTTATGCAGTTATAACTATAGCTCTTCTAAAATGGAATATTTTATTTTATCTTAGACTCTCCCAAAGTTTTCTTCCTAATTTATATAATTATTCCTTCCTAATTTATGTAATTATTCCTTCCTAATTATGTAATCTTCCTGGAATTCGTTAAATGCTCCTCGAGGATCCATCAAGGTAAAATTTTCCTGACCCGCTGCTTCCTGCACGTGTTTGACTAAGCCGCAGGCGTCCGTCTGTCCGTGCGTGGCTAAGTCACCCCGCCTGCTGGAGTCGGGACTGCCTGGCTTGCATCTTGGGCCTGCATTTCCCAGCAGCGTGACTTTTCCTCTCTGATCCCCTTCCCTCATTTGAAGGATAACCATAACGATGTCGCAGCGGTGTTCAAAAGATCCAGTGGGACACCGCCTGTAAAGTCCTTACCTTTCAGTGTCAGGTTGTGTCAGGTCAAGCGCAGGGTAAAGCAGTATTTCCATCACGTTTACTCATTTGTATAGCTGCGGGGGACCTGTCACCTTTGGAAGGGCCTTAGGGACCGTCTGGCTCGAATAGGTCATTGGTGACACCACTGTTTCCTGGACCTGACTGCAGCTCAGACTCGCCTGGAGGACCTTTGAAAAGTCCCGGGTCCCATCCGCCCCCTCCCATCCCCCCCCCCCCCCCCGACTGAATCCCGAGGATGCACAGCCCAGTGATTCAGAATTGCAGCACACTTTCTGTGTGGTTCTTAAGCATTTGGCTTCCCGTTGGCAAGAGGTTGTCCAGTGTCGGTTTTACAGCTTGCCACGTCATAATATTCATGGAATAATACAGCGGTTTCTGGTCCCTTCCATATGTTACGTAAACGTTCAAGGCGGGTTTTGCCCGTTTCTCATGGATCGGTTAGTATCGTTTCTCTAAAAGGAAAGTTCTCATCTCAACTGTCTTTTCTCCAAATTTAGTCCTATTTCCGTATGTGAAAGATCGTCTGTTTCTTGTATATGACTGACAATGCCAGACGTTTGTGCTTGGTTCTGATAGACCACGAGATTCTCGTTTTAAATCTAGTTTTAATGAAGTTACTAATTCTGAAATAATGCCCTAATGTATTTTTGGTTTTAGAACTTTTTGACAACTACATGCAACAAGATGCCCATGAATTCTTAAATTACCTACTAAATACAATTGCTGATATCTTACAAGAAGAGAGGAAGCAGGAAAAGCAAAATGGCCGTTTACCTAATGGTAATATCGACAGCGAAAATAACAGCAGCCCACCCGACCCAACGTGGGTTCATGAGATTTTTCAGGGAACATTAACAAATGAAACCAGATGTCTTACTTGTGAAACCGTAAGTATATCGTAAAATTTTAGAGGGAGCAAATTTACTTCCTTTTTACCGAAAGTTCTTTGGAGGATGCGTGAGAGTGGAACGCGAGGCTGGAATTTCTTAGGTGTAGGATAAACGAAGATTAAAGATGTACCTGTCACTTGAAAGGATCTGTCTACACTTTTTCCATAATGTTGCTTATTAACAGTGAATACCCGCGACGACAGAAAAAGTAACTTCCTGCAGTTTCGGACCACAGTTGACCCTTGAACACTAGGGGGTCGAACTTCCTGGGTCCACCCGTTTGCGGATTTTTTTTTTTTTTTTGGATATAGTACCGTAAATGTATTTTCTTCGTAACGTTTTCTTTTCTCTAGCTTACTTTACTGATATCACTATACATATACAAAGTGTGTGTTAATCAAGTGTGTACGTTATCGGTAAGGCTTTTCTGGTCAACAGCCGGCCGTTAGTAGTTAGCTTTTTGAGGAGTCGAAAGTTACGCCCAGATTTTCAACCGCAGCGGGGGTGTGAGTTGGGGAGTTCGGTGCCCCTGACCCCCCTCTGCATTGTTCAAGGATCAACCGTGTTTGATTCTGTTTCAGTAGAAGAGGCCAGAGAGCCGGGTTCTGGAAATTCTATGTCTGTGTGTCAGGCAAGCCCATAAGAAACTTACAGGTCAGGGAGGCACATGCGTCTGTTTTTCCTTTCCCTACAGTTACGTGTCTTGTTGGAATAAAAACTAAAGCGTATTTGTTATACTCCGCGGGGAAGGCACCCGCTTGCTGGATACTTTGTAAAGACGAGCAGTAGGGAGGAAGCCCAAAAATGAATTCCACTGGATTCCACTGGATTCCACATGGGATCGGATAACTCAGTCCTTTTGTTATATCGTTACCTTGTTACCTCATTTCTCACTTGAGGAATGAAAGATCAGACTCTTGTTTAATCAGGCATCCATTACTCCGATTTGCCGGTTGAGCCAACAGTGTCCTTCACCGCATTTCTGCCCCTGCAACCGAATCTGGTTAAGAGTTTGCTCGAGCGGTGTGCATTTCATATAGTGGTCATGTTTTCTCTAGCCGCCTTTAATCTGGAACATTCCCATAGTGTTTTTGGTCTTTTGTGACATTTGTTTTACATTTTAAAAGAAGATGTGCCTCCTTTTTAAAAACAGTTGAACATTGCTCTTACCGAGTTTGCCCGATGCTTCCTTCTAATTAGATGCAGGTGTGTTCTTGGCTGGAGTGGTCGGTTAGTGTTGTGTCCTTCTCAGGGCATCCTGTCTGGGCACACAGTACCCACCTGCCTCTTGATGGGGAAATTAACTTTGATCTCCCATTCAAATTGTTGTTCAGTTTCTCCGCTTGGTGATGACCAGCCTTTATGCCCTTGTAACTAGTGGGCAGTCTGTGGGGAGACACAAATACCTTGTTCTTCATCAAAATCTCCCCTAGGATCCAGCATCCACTGAGGATTTTTGCCTGACTCAGCCTTCAGTATGATGGTCGTACTACTAGTTTTAAGAGGAGAGGAGCATCGTCCAGGGGAAAAGAGAGTCCACGGCGAGAAAAGATCAGATGTTTTATGGATGTTTGGAAGAATAACATAGTTCCTTGGTTGACTAGATCAGATAAACTTACACTGGCGGAGGCTAATAAGGAACTGTATTCTTCTTTTTTAATTAATAGACTTCAGAAGAATTGAGTGGAAAGTACAGAAAGTTCCCAAATACCTCCTCTCCTCCACTTCCCCGTTATTAACATCTTGCACTACTGAGGTGCATTGGTTGCAGTTGATGGGCCAGTAATTGAGGGGTACATTATCAACTAATTCTGTAGTCCATATTTTAGTTCACTCTTGGTATCATCTGTTCTGTGGTTCTGTTTATTTTGACATACGTATAATGACCCGTGTCTTTCACTACACTATGATACAGAGTAGTTTCAGTGCCCTAAAAATCCTCTGTGCTTCACAGATTCATCTCTCCTTCCTCCCCAAATCCCTGGCAACCATCGGTCATTTTACTGCCTCCACAGTTTTGACTTTTGCAGGGTGACATGTACAGTTGGAATCGTAGATATGAGTGCGGCCTTTTCAGATTTCTCCTTTCTCTTAGCAATATGTACCTGAGGTGTCTCCGTGTCTTTTTGTAGCCTGGCAGCCCGTTTCTTTTTACCACAGAATTCTGTTTCATCGTGTGGACAGACCACAGTTTATCCATTCATATGCTGAAGGATGTCTAGGTTGCCTCCCACTTGTGATGATTATTGCTTTGTCTTCTCTGGGCCTCTTGCCTCTCCATGTAAACTGTAGAATCATAAAAGATTTAGAAACTGGTTTATTATCCATAAAATAATGTGCTGTGATTTTGAATGGATTGTGTTGACTCTGTTGATCAAGTTGGGCAGAACTGAGTTCTTGACAATGTTGAGTCTTTACTGTCCATTTACATGGACTCTACATTTATTTACATCTTTCTTATGGAAGAAGTCATCTTGTCGTCGTCCTCGTGTTGATCTTGTACATACTTTGTTAGCTTTACATACCTAAGTGTGGGGGGTTTTTGTTGTTCTTTTGTCTTTTGTTTTGTTTTTGGTGCTAATATAAACAGTAGTGCGGTTTCTTTCTCTTAAAGCAAATAGTGATCCTTTTGATTCAACCATGAATAAAAAGATAGGCTCTTTCAGTGGAACCCTGACCAATAAAGATGAGTGACTGTTGACTGTTGATTATGCGTTCATCTTTTTAACTATAACCAGAGCTCTGCAGGGCGATCATTGTCAACAGTGTAATTTTAGTTAATGAAAGGACACAGTTGTAATAAATAAAATTCTCTTTTGTGAATCCATTTTTATTGGTGAACCTCTTTCACATCAAGCAAAAGAGGTTTAACTGAATGCTTGACTGCATTAACATCCTGTGTGGGTGTTTTTGGGTTAGAGTAAGGATTACTGTTTGTTGTTGTAGCCATTGCAGTAAGAGCTTGACTGGGCAGTGTTTGATGGCAGGAATTGGTCTCAGGACTCACCTTTATTCGATCTGAGCAACTCCACTGGTTTTAACATGAGTTTTATAGAGACATATTATAAAAAAAAAATTCTGTTGTAGCTGAATTCCAAGCTTTTAGGAAATAGACTGAGCGGTGTTTCAATTGGAAGGGTGGGTTGAATCAGAATTTGGCAGTTGGTTGGTGTTTGGTGTGATGAAATTTGGTCTGTGTTCGAAGACCTGTATGATTCATCCTCTTCAAGAAGACAGAAGATAGTTAAATTTGCTTAGCATGTTGGGAAATGTAGTTTTGGTGAAGCTGGCAGAGTAGATTTGGGACCCTGTGGAGGTCTTTGGGATGCTGTGGTGCCAGGCCTTGGAAGCTTATTTTGTAGACTGGGGACAATGGGGGATGAGGATTAGATGTTTTTGAAGGACAAAGTGATGTCACCCATCCTTGGTTGCTCAAATATTTATTTTATTCGCAATGGATGGCTAGTGATCCTTCCCCCCATTCTTTGCTAGGTCCTCCTGTGGCCTGCAGTCTATATTTGCAGATAGTTTCCCAAGAATTAAAGGTATGAATTGAGAATATTTCCTCAGAATCCCAGTCATTATCTTGCAGATTCAGTAAATGGTCATCAGTACCCCATGGCCTTTATCAAACTCAGCTAGAGGGATGAAATTGAGAATTTCTGAAGAGTGAATATGTATCATTTCTTTAGTTTTGCATAAATATTTAAGTGCCAGCCGGGCCAGGTAGAAGATGGGTAGAAGATGGGTTGGCAGAAGGTGAGTAAGACATAGAGATCCTGATCTGCAGCTGCTCGTAGAGGAGTACAGACCGGTAACAGGCAGACAATTCCAGTCCAGTACGTTACGGTTCAGGTAAGCACAAGAGCCCGCGTGAGTCAGAGAACAAGGAGACCTGACCTCTCCACGTAGGAGTGGGCTTCTTGGAGGAGGCAGTGTTTGTGTGGCAGGTGTTGGTAACGCGGTTGTTAACACCCTAGTTGGTTAGGAGGCTGGGTCCCTGTAACAACTCTGTCTTCTGATGGTTTCTTCTTGGCCTCATTCCTTTTCTTCTGTTTAGTCTTTAAATGTGGGTGTCCTCCAGGCTTTCACTTTGGGTGGCTTCTCACTCTGCAGCGGGAGGGTCGCGGTCCGTTTTCGTTCCCGCCTGTGCTGATGACTCCCCACCCACGTCTCCAGCTTAGACTGCTTCTCTGAGTCTCCCACATCCTGGGTGTGACCTGACGTTAGAGCATGGGAGTCCGACAACAAGCAGACGTGTTTACAAACACTTTTGCAAGTTAAATAGTGCCCCACTCGGTGATTGCCTTGTACCAGCACGCTTGTGAACCCAAACATAGTAACTCAGATGTATCCAGATGATCCAGAGCCTCCTTCTATATCATAAAGATGGAAATGTGAAATGAAGACCGCGAGGCAGCGCCTGAGAACCCGCAGACCTCGTTTTGACAAACACCAGGCTCTTAAATCTTCACTCCTTTTTGGCCTGCACGTAAAGCCGCCTGTTAGCCTGTCTCTGCCACGCCATCCCGTGCCACCCTCCTCTCCTTCCTCCAAAACGGAGCTGATTCTTTTTCCTTAAGCACCTCACGTTCCCTTTCCTCTCTCTGTGCCATCTTCCTTATTCTTTCTTGTTCTCTGAATCTTTCGTGACCCAGATCACTTACCTCACGGTGTCACTGTACCTTGTGCGCACGGTAAAAACGTACTCCTGTTGGCATAAGGGCATAGTAGATGCGGCTCCAAATCCGTACAGCTGCACGATGTATCACGAGTTACTGATGCCGAGCTCCTGAAACAGGTGCGCCGTTGAAGCAGGAGAGCACTTACCCCCCGGGGGTACGGCCGTGGTGGGTGCCAGGCTCCGCCAGGGCTCTGTTGCACGCTCGCCCCGGGGAGAGAGTCGTCGAAGGAAAGAGCTAGGAAAAGCGACGTCTGCAGTTCCACCCTAATCCTGTTCAAACCAATAAGCACTAATTTTTTTTATCAGATGATTTAGCCATAATTCAAACAGAACCTTACGTTAGGTTTTTTCAGGGAAGGATTAGAAAAGGTCATCAATGAAGATTGTAATTTGGCATTTTAGGCTATAATTATTTCCTTGAATGATAAAACGACACGGGCGTCAGGCCCTTGCCAAGCATCCTCATTCCGTCTTGGCCTGTGTGTGCGTGCGTGTGTGTGTTTTAAGTATCGGTGTATGTGGGCGGTTTGTTTCGTGCTTGACAATAATACCAAGATTCGGGAAAGTGATGGGATTTGACATCCTCGCCTCTGCCAGTAAGGGAATCGGTCCCAGATGTACTTTGCTGTTTAACCTGTCCACATGATGAGAGTCGTTTACTCAGTGTCCCGTTGGATAATCCAGATCAAGGAGATTTCTTGTGAATTTGGGGGGAAAAAGAATTCTTCATATACCTACTACTAATAGAATGAATTTAATTCTATCATTTCAGAGCAGTGATTTACTGATATTTTAAAAAAATCAAAGGTAATTCCCTGTTTTTCCAGATAAGCAGCAAAGATGAAGATTTTTTAGACCTTTCTGTTGACGTGGAACAAAACACATCGATCACTCACTGCTTAAGGTAATTGTAGATGTATTTATGTTGACATTTAATGAATGTCTTTGGTTTAGAATATTTTGAAACACACAGTTTTCCGGTATAGACAAAATAAATTTATTTTGAATTTTACACAGGGGTTTTAGCAACACAGAAACTCTGTGCAGTGAATACAAATATTACTGTGAAGAATGTCGCAGCAAACAGGAGGCACACAAACGGTAATTTAGAGTTTTTAAACTGTTTTAGTGATTTCTCTGGCAATGGATGTTATCGATGGGCTTTTCTAGCTGAAAGGGATGTGTGAAAATTTACACTGAGTACAACTTTTGAATGTTATCGTTGAGTAATGAAGACGCGTTAAGTTATTGCCAGATCAACAGGATTCCACTCTCCACCCTCAGGCCACTTTCTACACTTGTTTAACAATCCTAAACCAGTACGGTTAAAATATTTGACTTCGAAGCTTTGCTGCCTGTGTAGCTTTTTCCTTGGTGGGGAGAGGTAGGGGGAGCTGTACCCGAGTTTCCGCTCTTCCCACATGGGATGTTTACCTTCTCTTCTTTGGGATTCGGTATCAGGGAATGGAGTCGTCATCATCATTCTCGTTAACCTTACTTCTTACTTTGGAACAATCTCAAAGTCAAAGAAAAGCTGTATGAACCGTACCAAGAATGCTATTTTACCCTAAATCGTTTGAAAATAAGGTCCTGGTGTGATGTCCCACGATCCTGGACACTTGGGTGGCCATTTCCTACCAACAAGGAGGTTTTCCCATGGCCGTATTCACCCACACGGGGAAAGTCACACCGACACGCCACTGTTCTCGTAGACCTTATTTTATTAGCGCAGATGTCCCGGTAATGTCCCTTATGGAAAAAAGGATCCAGTCCAGAAACATACATTACATTTAGTATTTGTGTCTCTTTAGTCTCTACATTTGGAACAGTTCTTTAGTCTCTTGTTGACTTTAAAAATCTTGAGAGTTTTGAAGATTACCGATTCGTTGTTTTATAGACCGTCCTCTTTGGGGTCATCTCGTGTTTTCTTAGGATTAGGTTCAGGTTATGGATTCCGGGTGGGAGTCCCCCAGAAGTGATGCTCTCTTCTTCCCGTTGTATCCTCTTAAGTGACACATGGTGTGTGGGGGTCCCTAAGACCACTCCGGACACTCACTAGAAGGACTCACAGGACTCCGTGTATGTAGTCATGCTCACAGCTGAGACTTATTACAGGGAAAGGTGACAAAGCACGTCAGCAAAGCAGAAAACCAGGTGAGCTTCCAGGAGTCCAGTCCCATGGAGTCACGTGGGCATACTTCACTCCTGTAGCATTGAATGTGACGTGGGAAAAGTGTTTTCTGCTAGGGAGGCTCATTATAGACTCAGTGTCCAGTGTTTTAAACCGAAGGCTAGGCGCCCTCTGCCCAGCATGTACCAAAATTCAAGACTCTCAGAAGGAAAACAGGTGTTGAGCATAAGGCACATTGTTTGTTCAAACAATTTAGGCGTGTTGAGACACGCTTATCATTTAGGGACACTCCTCAAATCCAAATTCTCATATATTAACCAAGGATCACCCTTATAAGCAGACCTTTCTAACAGAAGTGTTTTTTTTAAGCATTTATTTATTATTGAGAGACAGGAGGGTGACAGAGTATGAGCAGGGGAGGGGCAGAGAGAGAGGGAGACACAGAATCCGAAGCAGGCTCCAGGCTCTGAGCTGTCAGCATAGAGCCCAATGCGGGGCTCAAACCCCCAAACCACGAGATCATGACTTGAGCCAGAGTGGGACACTTAACCAACTGAGCCACCCAGGGGCCCCACAAGCAGACCTTTGAAAAGACAGTCTGAGGCCCGCTAGGTTAACCCTTTTCTGCACATCCCATTACTGGTACTGTTATCTTTGAGCACTTGATTAAGGGGATGTCTCCCAGAGTTCTTCACTCTTAGCTATGTTTTTGCTCATGTATAATTCATAAGTATTTTGTGTGGAGGTTATTTTTAGATTGTAAATACACCCATTCCTCATCAGACTTCTAATATTTTTCATTTTCTAAATCTCAGTTTGGATTCCAGGGTCTTTTTTGTTTGTTTGTTTTTTTCAGTGGGTTATGATCCCTTGCCATTCTTACTTTTTTTATGTGCAAATGATCCCCAATTTGGCCAGCGGGAACCCCTTCAAGCTGGTGCCTGTGTCTTTATGACATGTCCCCTCATCCTTGAGTGTTTCTTTACTTTCTGGCACCACAAGATACTCCTGGCTCATTTTCTCATTTTGTACTTGCCTTGCCCCCACTCTGGTCCAGCCATTTCTCCAGAGAGACCTGGTTCCTTTGAGGAGGAGAATGATGTTTAGAAAGCAAGACTCTGATAGAGGTGTGCTCCCTGCTATCAGGATGTTTCTGTCCTCGAGCCCCCTGGGTGAGCAGAGCTGGAGGGTGGGGGTATATACTCACATCTGTACCTGTGTATCTTGCCTGTTGATCTTTCCGTATTAAAAAACCATAAATTCCCAATTAAATTCCCAATTTCACATCTGTATCTGTGTATCTTGCCTGTTGATCTTTCCGTATTGAAAAACCATAAGTTCCCAATTAAATTCCCAATTTCACATCTCTGCCTGTGTCTCTTGCCTGTTGATCTTTCCATATTGAAAAACCATGAATTCACAATTAAATCCCCAATTTGAGCCAACACCATAGGGTCCATTCTAGTTTTATTTGTGGTTTCCTTCTCTGAAAGTAAAAATTGGCTCCTGTTATCTTTCTGTATTTATTTAATTGTTCAGTGACCCTGTAGGTGACCGGTCTTCTCCCTCCACCCCCACCATGCACACATGTCATACAGACATGCTCTTTGCTCTGCTTGGGTTTCCCCTCTCCCCTGACGGCACAGCCGTCTACCTAGTATGGCCCCACCTGACGGTTGAGCTGAAATGTTCATGAAAAGAAGAACTTAGGTTTTTAAATGATTATCTTTTTGTTTTTATTTTGGACACAGATACATTTATTAGGAAGGGAGGGGTTTTAGGTAGTGGACACAGGTAATCAAAGCAGATGACTCATTGTTCTCTTCTGTTAGTGAAGATGATTGGGGTGGGTACTTCACATAAGTTTGGGAGAGGACGTGTCAGATTAATCCTGAAAGTGTAGAAGGTGTCTAAGACTGTTGGTTAAGGAAGACAGAGTCAAGGACTAAATGTAACTAAGAGGAATCCGACTCGCGAACTTCTTTGGCCACACGGAGGAAGGCGTATCTGTGAGCCTGGCCGGTCTTCATACAGAATGACAAATAGCCGTATATGTAATTAAAGATGGTTTACAAACTCAAGCTGTTTGTTCTGTAGACATCCATGAGATTTTAATATATCATTTAATATGAGGTTTTTTGTTAATATACATGGGGAATATATATATATATATATATGCGCTCTGTAAAGAAATTAGAAAATATAAGTATACATCAATTAAGAATCATTATGAAAGCGCTGTTAACATTTTTGTGTATCCTGGATTTTTGAAGGGTGTCTGTATGCACACATGTAATTCTTGCAATGGAATCAAATTTTTATATGCAGTTTTGTAGCTTTTTTCACTTAATAAATGACAAGCATGTCACTAAAAGTATATTTTTACATCATTCTGAAGAGGTGCTCCATAGACTTTTTGTATGGGCATACCATAATATACCATAATCTGTGAACTGTGTTCACGGCTAAATCTAATAGCTTAGATTGTTCCCTTTTTTTTTTTTTTTTTACTGTTACATTGCTTTGGTGAACGTGCATATTTTGTATGTATATGCCCACCAACAGACACATTTTCACACAGTTTTTAGAGTATTTCTGTAGGATAAGTTGCACGTTAGTTTACGGAAAGACAGCAATACAGAAATTATCTATTTTCTACTAGGATCTAGCGTCAGCCCTTCTGATAACTTGCGTTGTAATATTGAGCAAGTCTGATTTAATCTTTTTGGGTCTCACTTGCATTAGTTGACATCTACCAGCTCTTAGTCTCAGACTAAGAGAGTAAGATTGTGTTGGATATACAGATCATAGTTCTTATTAAAGAAACAAAAACCGGTTTGACTTTAAAAGGTTTCAGTCAGGATGAAGTACAAAAACCACGGGATCATCTCAGTGGACACAGAAGAAGCATTTGAGAAAATTCAACACCCGTCCATGATAAAAACACTCAGCAAACTAGGGATAGAAGGAACATACCTCAACATAATAAAGGCCATCTATAAAAAGCCCACAGCTAACATCAGACCCAGTGGTTAAAAAAATAAGAGCTTTTTCGGGACGCCTGGGTGGCGCAGTCGGTTAAGCGTCTGACTTCAACCAGGTCACGATCTCGCGGTCCGTGAGTTCGAGCCCCACGTCGGGCTCTGGGCTGATGGCTCAGAGCCTGGAGCCTGTTTCCAGTTCTGTGTCTCCCTCTCTCTCTGCCCCTTGCCCGTTCATGCTCTGTCTCTCTCTGTCCCAAAAATAAATAAACGGAAAAAAAAAAAAATAAGAGCTTTTTCTCTAGGATCAGGAACAAGACAAGGATGCCTAGTCTGGCCATCATTCAGCATAGTATTAGAAATCCTAGTCCGGGCACTTAGGCAAAAAAAAAAGAAAAAGAAATAATAGGCATCCAAAAGGGAAAGGAAGAAGTCCGATTATCTCTGTTCACAGATAACGATCTTATTGACAGAAAACCCTAAAGATGAAACAACAACAAGAAAAAAAGCCTTGTTAGAACTAATCAATTCAGCAGACGTGCAGATACGAAATCAACATGCAAAAATCGATTGCATTTCTGGGCACTAACTGAACAATCGAAAAGAAAATTAACAAAAGAATCCCACTTACAGTAGCATCAAAGGGAATAAAATACTTAGAAATGGATTTAACGATGGGGGCTAAAGACTTGTACCCTGAAAACTATAAAATGTTACTGAAAAATTAAAGAAGATATGTACAAATAAATGGAAAGATATCTTGCGTTTATGGACTGGAAGACTTAATACTGTTAAAATGGTCATACTACCTAGAAGAGTCTACAGATTCAGTTTAACCTCTATCAAAATCTCCATAGCAGTTTTTGATGAAATAGGGGAAAAACACACCCAAGATTCATAGGAGAAATCTCGAAGGACTCTTAAAGCCAAAACAATCTTTAAAGAAAAACAAAGCTGGAGGCCTCACACTTCCTGACTTCAAAACCTAT